CATCAACTGTCAAGATAACATCAGAGGGACTTCTCCAGCTATTCAGCACAGGCGTTCTCAGTGCGTCTGAGCTCGCCAAAATCAAGCCTGACGTCGCCGACCGCTCGAAGACAGACGCACTGGCCAAGCTCCTGGTGTGTATACAGGCTGGGTGAATGGTGATGAATTGTACCTTACGAATCATTGTTGGACTCCCAGTAAATTCGTTGGAATTAAATGTGTTGACACATGTGGTATTCGGTGTTATGATGTATGTGTTCTGGTGGCGCAAGCCCCACAATGTTCGGCAACCCATTTCCTTATCACCCCGGTTGCTGGACGACGATGCCTGCCTCTATTTGCATTATCTTGCTAATATAGAGCCCACCTTTGTTTTCCGAGGGCGGCCTTCTCCTCCCACTCGAGTTAAAACCCTATCGATAGCACCTCAACATCGACCCAAAACCAAAACAGAATTAAAGGTCAACAACAACAGCCTTATCCGCTACTTTAAGTTCGAAATCAACGGTGAGATGATCACTTACAGCTATCAAGCACGGGATACTCTCCAGAAATCCCCGGATCCAGTACCAACCATAGAATCTGCAGTCTTACTTGACTCCGACACTGATCCGCACAAGATACTAAGATTCCCAGACTGCAAAAATCCCAACGGTCTTCAACTAATTGACGACATTACCAACCAGGTTTCGATCTCAACCTCAGCCTTTTTAACACGAAATGATCCATTGAACGCCAAACACCTTCATAAGATTCTCTTTGATCGGATGGAAGAAACGACGATCAAAAGGCTGTCTGCTATGCATACATCGGGTTTTAAACACACGTTACCTGTCAGTGTGCACAGCGCTTCCATCACCACCTATAAGAGTAAACTGAACTACGTAAACCTGTACAGTTTGCTTTGTCTACTTTACTCCCTCATCCACACAGGCGCGTGGAATTGGAGTTTTCCAACCAGGATCGAAATATTTCTCTGGAGGCTCTCGTGTTGCTTGATGCTTTTGGCCAATTTGGTGTTTATCATCATTCATCTTATCGTGTGGGTCTTGATAAGAGCAAAGAAGAAGACAGCGACGGGGCCAAGAGCTGAGAAACTAGAGCATACGAATACGTATTTAAGGAATATCACGAAGGTGTGTTCCCTCATCTACTCGACACTATGAGATCTCATATTTTGTGTACTGACACTCTCAACCGGCAGTTCGGGAGAATTATTTGGCGGCCGTTGAGGTTCATTATAAAATGCCTATAGGTCCAATAATGTTCTCATTGCGATATAGGAGACAACTGGGGTGGTTCCTTACCGTCGTCACCATTGTAGCGCGGGTGTATATAATCCTGGAATGCTTTTTGAGTATTAGAAGACTACCGGAAGGGTCATTCCGGACGGTTCCCTGGGAGGATGTAGTGCCGCATCTTTAATACCTGTGAAAGTTACAAATTCTTGGATTACTTATGTAAGCGCTGCATAAGATATCACTCGAGGGAGCTACACTGTTCTAGCTTGCTCTGGTTAGCGTCCATCCTGAGTCACGTGAAGATGAGGCCCAGCATCCCGAACCCAACACTCACGCCCAATCCTATATAGCATACTCCTACATGCCTTGTTTACTCGAGAATGAGATGCAGTAGTGCGCAAAAAGGGTCTTGTGTAATAGTAACGGTGTTGGTTGAACAGGTGGCTGGCCGAGCATGATGGGCAGGTATGACGAGGAAGTACGTACGGGACGGTCCCCGCAGTTTATATCATGAGTAAGTTCATCTTGAATGTGTTTCAATCGATGTGGTGACGGGAAACTATGCTCTCGCTCTAGATTCATAACCTTTCCAATCACCACGTCAATAGCAAGGCGCGCCTGAGCCTGATTCTTAGCTATTAACGTCGAAGTATCTACATGTAGATCTCCCAGATCACGTTACTGTGTGGTGTGTCACAACTATCCTGTGCTCTCGGAAATGAGTCAACCTCATATGGACCACAGTGACACCATGGCATTTAACTTTTAAACATATGCTCGATATCTAAAACATTGTGTCGACTCTCGAGAACATGCACTTTCCCAGCTTGACTAGGGCCATATTCCAACCAGGAGATACGGTTGCCTAGTACTACCAGCTCGAATAGCCCGACCATATGTTCGAGATACGTACGAACACACGCTCGCGTATTCATTGATACTGCCCTGCAAGAAGGTCCCAGGAGAAAAGAGGGCTGACAGCGCCCGCCCCATATCACCGAGTGATATCTCATGAACAACAACGGTCCGTGGAGTTCTACTCCCCACACCACTGCAACTTTCCTATTTGATGGATCCATCAAGGTTCTCGCCGGAATTAATAAGTATGCGAGAAACGATTAGAGACATAGATTAAAACATCGCTCGCGTGACTGAACTGCAGCTCGAACGACACATCATCTTCGGTAACCCGCGTATCCCTGTAGAATAGAAGTATACAGGGTTGTGAAAGCTGTAGTCCGGCATATCGCGCTCAACAAACTAATTTCCAGCGTGACATTAACTCTAGTTATGAAACCGAATAAGCCTTGATATAACATTGGCCTAGGCTTCCTCGGTGTATAAACTACGTAGTCGTTCTTATGCCTCTTATACTGCGGGTACCCGAGCTTCAAAGGCTACCGCTACCCTGCCCGGAAATCGCTTCCAATTGAACATTTCAGTAATATCATGCAGAGAGCCGTTTTGTCGCCGGCGAGGAGAAAATGCGATTAACTTGTCCCAAGAGCTATGTAGCTTAAGGGATATATCTCTGGTTACTGCAAAACTTACAATTAGCGGCTTCTCAAAACGATCCCCCTCCCCTCGACCTTGATCACCGCCGCTACAGAGGCATATATTTACTCAAATAGACGTAGACACAGATACACGTACACGTCTCTACTACTAATTAACCTCCTCATGGTAGCCGTCCAGGAGAGATTGGAAGCTTGAGAATAGTTTTCGGGGTCTTAATATTCCAGAATATTTAACTCTACTTGTACAATTATTTCCCATCTACCGCGGGGCAGAGGTTGATGACGTTCTATCTGTTTACCTGCTTCAATCCACGATATCTGTATGGTAGTTTATTATCTCCGAAGAGCCAATAAGTTTATTACCGCGCATGCGGGGAACTCCGCAATGCATATTTATCAGCATCGACCTAAGATCGAGCTGGTGACCATTAACACCCTCTTTAATCGGTACAGTATTAATGGCAGCCTGACACATGAGGCCATAGGTAAGAAGTTGGCGGGCCATATTCTGATTGAGTGAATCTGATGAACTGTCAGGAGAACTTCTCCTTCAGATTTAAAGTGTAAAGCTTCGAGAAGAATCGACCGCATCTAGGCAGGCCTACAGTATCAGCAGCCCTTACCGCCCATCAGGTTAATTCAGTGGAGGCGCAGTTTATATTGCCAAGCGCCGGACCAGCAGAACCATTGGTCTTCTGAGTCGGCGAATAGACGGTGCCGGTGTCATAAAGTCGGCTGCGGCTGAGTGAGTAGATTCTTGGCGTCAACCAACCAGAATCGCATTTTGAGCTGCGTACCTGGTGGAGTAGTACAGGACTACAGTACTGGCTAGAAGGATATTGTCTATATGAAATGCATATGTATACCCTATAAGAATTGGATGGCCTGTCAAATGATCCACCCGAACTTGAGCCTGCTATATATACTCGGGCGTTCATTAAATGGTCGGATATCGTTGCAACCAAATCCCTACTCAAAACCCCGAACGCATGAGTAGATAGAGATAATACTCGATACATAACGCTCACCCGGAACTATCCTTATCTTAGCGAGAGAGGGTATTATATGTACTCCGAAGGATCCGGTTGGGAGTAAAGCACGATCAATCAATGAATTACTTCGACACAGATGGAGATGGCGTGTTTGTACTATACTTTATAAACTATCAGATGAACCCCGAGAGGTTTACATATGCGCGGTGGTAGAATCTTTCACCCACGAGGTGGACGCTCTTCCAGTTGATCCCTCCGATCGATTTCCAGTCTTTCTAAGTGCAACCTTTGCCTTGGCAGCCTACTAAACGGAATTGTCCTTATCGATATATGAGGCTTGTTTTCTATTCCACGGAGCTGTTTCTACGCATATTTCTTCAACGATCCAGCGCGTGAATAAAATGTGTTGTTATATACGCATGTTCATAGGTGCATGTGCACTTCAAAAGCTGTACCGGCGATGATCGAGACTGGCTGAACCAATCATCTATCAAGGGCAAGTTTATATCCTGCGAAAATCGAGAAAAATATATCGTGGCCTAAATGTTGATATAGATCTCGATGATCCTAAGTATCGTAGGATGTGACTAGGGCTCTACCGCAAATAGGGATCCCAGGGCACGAACTCATTGTATGCACTTTGAAAGCTTGCGAAATCGAGAGCTCACTCCAAAATAGAGTACTCACTTCATGAAGCACATTTAAGGCTCCCCTTACAGGCTGGGCTGAGGGGGTGACTCTAAACGTCGCGGGAATTGCTTTCCACCGTATTCATAATCGCCAGCTTTCGTGGAAATTCTTCGACCTCCGTGGAACATCTCTGTGCTTTGAGCCTGGATCTTCACAGCTTGATAGTCACCTGCAGTTGGTTCTGTTGGAAAAGTCCGATTCCTGGTTGTAGGGACTTGTGCGGGAGGTTGAGCGGCCTATGACTCCCCAACAGTCCGAACAGCACTTGCGGGACAGGTTGAGAGTCCCAATATCTTTCAGCCTCGTTTAGTATCCTTTAAATACCCCATGATACCAACCTTATTTCAACCACGAACCATATCTTTATACCATAATCATAGTTATTCTTAAACCCCACGAAACTTCCTAACACATATTACTAGCGCCATAAGCACCTATACATCTTGCGATCGGCTCACACAGACTCGACCTGTAAAGCGACGTTTCCAATCAGTTCTACCTCTTATTTTGTTTAATTACCTGATCCTTGAAGAAAAACTTTCCTGAATCTGCTACGATCGATGTTGCGCTCCTTCTCTGCCACGGCCGCCGCGTTAGTGGTCGTAGCCATCAAATCCTATTCGGCCCTCATCAATCAAATCGGGGGTACCCTGAATCTTTTCGGGGTCATCCAAATGATTGTCCGTAAAGTCCTCGGCGACGAAACAATGGCCATAATTGACACAGTCCTCGAGACGCTCTCGAACGTATACCCTCGGACCTGTACACTGGCCGAGCTGACCACCACCATGCTCACAGTCATTCTCTGCCAGCTGCGCAGCGGGCCGTACATCAAGCCACACGGAAGGGCGTACGAGATGGGTTCGGATACCCTTACCATGCAGCTCTTCAGTCGCTTCTCTGTCTATGCCACCGCAGCGTACTGCAAGATGCCAGCCAGCAATGGTCCAAAGCCGGATAAAGAAATGAAGCTTGCGGCCAAGAATTCTATGATACAGAGTCAGCTCGGTTTACATCCGTCCAAGATATATCCCTACGTTAAGGAGATCAATATGCTTGGAATGGCAAAGAAGCTCGAGCATTTTGTGGCTGTGGATGACCAATACCGCCGCGTTGTGCTCACCTTCAGGGGGACGAGCGATATACATGCGGTGCTGAAGGATCTCGATGCACTATACTGCGAAGCAACGCTCTGGGGCGAGAAGTACCAGGTACATCATGGTATGTGGACGGCGGCCTTGGACTTTGTCAAAACCACGACCACCTTGAGTCAGATTCGGGAGGCGCTTTCGGCCAACCCTACGTACGCGCTGGCAATCGTCGGTCACTCGCTCGGCGGGGGTGTTGCTGCGCTTGTTACGATATTACTCTCCCGATATGCATTGAATGGCGGGTTTGAGACAAATGCGAAGACGCTGGAAGGCCGTACAATTGAATGCTTCACAATCGGATCAGGCGCCTGTATGGATAATTCTTTGGCCAAAAGAACAAAATCGATGATCTACACCCTCGTCAACGGCTATGATATCGTACCGTATCTCAGCCTGGGCGTTGTCGCTGACTTCTGTCAGATGACGAGGAAGGTCTTTGACCGCCCACAACAGCTTATACGCATCATGAGAGATTTGCTGTTGGAGAAGCCACCTTCTGAAGTTCTACTACACCACCTGGCATATTTGAGAGAACAATCCAGATTTGAGAGACTGGTGCCGCCGGGCAGGGTGTTTGTCATTGTTTATGATGAGAAAGGGGACGTCGAAGATGTGGAGGAGGAGATGAACGTTCAGGAGAGGTTTGGATACATCAGTATGAGGCAGAAGTTGAGATTGATCAGTGACCACGCCTTGAGCAAGGGAGAAAGCATTAGTACTAAGTTACACCGCTTTTCTGTCGTTTAAATCTACTTTCTCTACATACACTGCTCTTAATCAGCGGCACATGCATATACATATCTATATCTCCTTTTTTTCTTTTCCTTTTCTTCTGTACACTTCACCTAATGTTTAATAAGTTCTTTTTTTATTTTCCTCATGGATTTCATTCAATCTCCCCCCTTGTATTTTATATGTTCTACAATTTAAAATTGTTTATTTCCCTCTGACTTCCTGGTATAGCCACAATTGTTAGTGTCACATCGTGGATGTAAGATCTTATTTGTTCCTAAATAACTCGCAACACTTTAAACACAAAATCTGCCCGCCGATTGGTTGCTTTACATTCATTGAAGCGAACAGGCAAGGTTGCTACCGATACACCAGCTACAGTAGTTCGCCGTCACTTGGAGAGCACTACCACTTGACGAACAGAGGACCCTTGAGCCAGTGGAAATTAAAGGACTGGAGATCTCGCAGCCGGCTGCTGCTTGACTGTTCCCCGCAATACGTGGAACCCTGTAATCGTAAAGTGGCCGTAATCGACAAGAGACGGCGAACGACCGCAGCCGCCAGGGAACAAATCGCAAGAAATGTAGCCTTCTTATGAAGACTAGCATCGTATATTAGTAACCCTCATCATATACATAGAAGTATGTATATAAATACTCGATCTTAATACATCTCTTTACACCTACTTATCTATCGGAAGAGATAGCGTGACTTAGTGTTGTTGCGAACCACCCCAAATTGTCGTCTATCAGACAATTAACCCAATACCACATTTACACTGGGCAATTCTGCCAGCGTTTTCTCATTCTATCTCATCAGCATATATTGGCAGATCAACGTTTAGAGAGTTAGCTCTTTTACACAACTCTCACTACCAACCAAACTTGTGTCAATTTTGTGGACGGACAGCAGAGCAGGTTTATTGACTCCGGGAGAGGAGGCTCGCTACCTAGCAAGTTCCTAGCTAACCCTAACCCACATGGAATTGCCAGCCACATAACATATTTCGCCCCCAATCGTAGATGCAACTGACTCCGACGGCCAGCGAGTCAAGAATTAGAACGTTGCGGTTGAGGATTTAATAGCTGTTTAGCCACTCCCACCGATCCATCACTCAGCCACAGTGATGCCCACTTCCCCCCCCGAGACTAGCGGCCCCACGCCGCCACAACGCAAAAAGGTCGATATACGGGCACCAGCCACTTTACTGCAAGCACCAGGCACAGAGCACAATCCGAAAGGTCAAACACTCGATGCCGTCATCCGAGTTATAATTCATGAAGCGGTCGACTAGGGATAAGGCGAGTGGTGTCACCTGACCGACGAAGCCAGGCCAGTAGTCATCCGCACCAATACCCGCGTTTGCTTTTTAGATATTCTCCGTCTAGCCATTCTAAAACAGGCTAGCGATATGGATAAGAACTTGGGTTCCCTATTCACACCAGTTCTGCGTGGTACCAGTTGGCTCTCACAACCATGGAGTCGGCTTGGTTAAAGATGAGGCTCCTCGATGCATGCCTCGATTCCGGAGCCAATGAAAAAATTGACTGAAGCGGTGTTATCCCCTCTACTTCTTTTTGTACTATAAGTACCCGAACATGATTCATGCGGGATTCACGCTAACTATGAACCGAATAATTCTTGCTTGCCGTTCGTGTTCCGAGTAGAATACATAGAGTACAGTCGTCAGTAAGTGCATAGGTTGTAGTTGTCTTGACGACTGTACTGCGCACCTCTAATATTAGCCCAAGCGACGAATGTCAGTATTATCTTGGCGCCAAGATGGGATATGGCGAGTGATATTCTGTGAACTTTCAATACCATTCCCTATGTGCCCTCGGTACTATTTAGTACGTTGTAAAATACCTCGTCACAGGTCCTAGTATCTTAGAGAGATGTAACTCGTGACTGCAATAATTTGGGTCGTCTCGTTTGATAGATGTTAGGTTTTACCGAGTTTTGGGTTGTAGTTATCCCCAGTTCTTCTTCTATCGACAACTCTATCATTAGGATCTTATTTAAGTTTAGGAATACGCCTTTTTGCGGTTTCCGCTGTTGTCGCACCCCTGGTGAAGTGATACGTACTAGGTACTATAATGATGACTTCTATTGATGATGATCTTACGAGGGAGGGAGAGTCCCTCTGCTATTCTATTATCCTAGCTTAATGGTACATGTTGGCCTATGCCAAGACCTATAGTACAGATTCTTCTTGCCCTCGTGGCTTACTCATCCTTCTACGGACGTCCTCTCTTTATACTCAGAATATGTATCCCTTGGGCGTGTGAGACACTTGCGAAATCTCTCTCATGCATTGGCGTGATCTATTCAGGAAGTGGTTGGCTGAAATAAGGCAGCGACCTGCCAAGTTTTTGGCATATAGGCGTACTACAAGTACTGGAAAACGCAGCGAACAGCTTACCCTGACGTTTCCTCACCCAAATTTCGAGATCACATGATATTTATGCATGAGAGAGACTTCGCAAATCTCTCACGCGCCCAAGGGATACTACACCTGGCCGAGGAAAAAGCAGAGATTGGTACGATCGTACGAGTCTTCCCGAGTTACTGAATTAAATTGTGCACCTGTATCTGACTTCCCCTAGGCCACCATTAGTCGCGGGTGAGGCCGGGAGCGGGCCAGAAAAAGCTGTGCCGGGGCAATACGCTGTGTCCCACAGGATTGCAAGCATGAAAAGTGGATTTTGGAGAGACAGTTGATGCCCCAGATCAATCTACGCATGAGTCAATCACACTTACCACAGCAACTACATTGAAGACCTCCTGCCAGACTCAACTTTACTGGGGAACTTGTTATATCTTGCGCATGCGCTTTCAGAAAGTCATGATCGGATAAAGCCCATGCGCTACTCGGTTGGCCTCTTCCTAGGATGGAGAGAACTTGGGGGGTGGCGGCGAACGATACGTTATTCAGCATGCATTGAATGCATGGTACAAGTGCTTTCAAGCCGGGGAAGATATAAGGAAGCACTAAGGTGGAATCAACGTGTATTGGCTGGGCGGGAAAAGGTACTAGGAATGGACCACTCTGATACGCTTGAGAGCTTACACGACATAGCATACAACTTGAAGCAACTTGGAAATAAGGTGGAGGCTTTAGAATGGTACCGCAGAGCACTCGAGGAAAAGGATCGAGTGTTTGGGAAGGAGCATCAATCAACGCTCGGCACTCTGGGTAACATGGCGGCTCTTCTTGATGACCAGGGAATGCATACACCAGGATAAACCTTCAACATAACATTGGCCCACCTATTCGATCCCACCTCTCCTCTGTATATATATATTTGATGCTCAACATCGATCCCTGCGGGGATCTACGTCGATTATATACCCATCCACTCGTGCGAAGTCTCCACCTTGAATTCCTTCTCGCTACCACCTCTGACTTGTACGTATCTGATCTGTTTAATGGATCCCGATGATGCTGTAGCACTTCCACCAAGCATAAACTTCCGTCGCCTTCCCACACCCTGGTACATATACAGCGCCGGACAGTCAAAATCAACCCTAATGTTCTTTTCAAGCCAGAAACTAGTCCTAATCGGGTAATAATAAAATATAATCATCCCAATTAATATGGCCGCCTTGGCATAAAGCTATTAAAGTTATTACTTCACACCTATGTTTTTTTCGGGCAGATCGCACCAAATGTTTGAGAGGTCATAGTGCAGCCAGTTCTTAATTATTTTAAATCCCCTTTTATGAGGATGTTTACAACCATGATTAGACCCATTTTTACTAAAGAACATTATTTCTGGACAAGTGTTGCGTTGTTGAAAGTCGATGGGGTGAAGGGGAGTTCGCAGTTCGCTGCCTTACCTCAGTCAATCGTTTCCTGAGTAGGCCAGGCTAATGTATGAGAGAGATTTTATCAATGTCTCATACATTCAAGGGATAGAAGGAGCAGCTATAGGCCCGGGGTCGCATCATATACATACCTAAAATTTATTTAGCTTTGAGATCCTAAAACTGCAAAATCCGTAAACCGACAATTCTCAACAACAACATGCCGCCATCTAGAGGACCGGAGTGAAATTTCTACCATGTTTCTAGTAAGAAACAAAATCAGCGGAACTATAAAGTATGGTGTAAGTTTTGTGTAGCTCACCAGCGCCGGTTGATCCTTGATGAGGAAGGGACAGAATTAGATAGTACGGAGACTCTTGAGAAAGGTAAGTGGTTCCGCCATGAATCAAAACAGTACTAGTATACTGATTGAAGTATTAGCTCAAGCGCGGGTAGAAGGATGCATATCAAAAAAGGATACTCTCCTCAATCATATATTATCCAGATGCCCGCTTGCAACTGCAGAAGCAAAAGATAAAGCACACCAAATCGAGTTTGAAAATGTGACTCGCAGACCTAGTAGCATTCAGTTTGACGGAGATGCATAGAACAGTAATACATCTACGATTACGGAAATGAATTCGAAAAAGGAATCTGTACCAAATCAACAGCACCTGCCGTGGGTTCTTGTAAATAAAGCACCGTTTAGTAATAATCAACAGTCATAACTTGACTTGCAGATTGCAAGAGTAACTGTATCAGCGAATTTGCTGGAACGATGGATAGAAGACGTTGAAGTAAAGAATATGTTGAATCTTCTCCGTTCGACAATAAAATTACCTTCTAGACGTACCCTAGATGGTAGTTTGCTCTCCAAGTTACTAGACGAGGCACAACGGGAGGCAAAATCAGATTTGAGAGGCAAGTCGGTCACATTAGCAGTAGATGGTTGGAAACATTTCCGGCAAGATTGTTTGGTTAGTTTTGTTGTCAAAGATCATCGAAAAATCTACACGGTTGAAGTAGTTGACATAACCGACCGCCCTAAAAATGGTACAGAAATGTTCCGCTTGATTGAAAGCCGAATACAGAATCTCAACGGTGATGATTGGGCAATGTTAGTAATTGCTTTTTGCACCGATGATGGATCTGTCACGTACTAGGCCACCTATGCTTGGTGAGTTCATAAAACATGATGTACGATAGTAAACAATAAGACATCTTGAGCATCATACATGAACCGTGCTAAAACGCACAGTAATACCTGTTGAACGGGGGAAAACGGCGCAATGATTTGCACATAAGGTCGACAACCACAGTGTTTCGACCGTTCGTCAAGACTAGAGAAAGTATGTAGGAGAAGTAAAGTAATTGATCGTGTGTATTGTTAGCTAAGGGGGGATGCCCCGTATTTATACGAAAGAAATGTAGTACAAAAGAAATACAATGAGTCATAGACGTGTGAGTGATAGAATGACTAATAGGAAAGTGAGTCATACGCCGATGACAAATACTATAATGAAATGATGAGAATCTTCCAGAACTATGAAACGTGCCGAGCGCCCTATTTCAAGACTTCCCCTCGTGAGCCACAGTGAATAGTAGAAGAAAATAAAACATGTTTGCCTTTATCCAATCCCTTTGTAAGTAAATCCGCCACGTTCTCGTTCGTAGAAATATATTCCAGTTCAAATAATTCATCCTCAAACCGTTCCCGAACAAAATGAAAATGTACGTCAATATGTTTAGACCTTTTATGAAAGACAGGATTTTTAACCAAAGAGAGAGAGCCGTTGTTGTCGCCTCGAAGAATAAAAGAGAGATTCGGTTTTCGTTCCAGCTCGTGGATTGCATTCCTTAACCAGATCAGTTGTCGACTGGTGTCCGAGAGGGCCATGTATTCCGCTTCTGTTGTGGAAGTGGCGACAGATCGTTGCTTATAAGAACGCCAGGAGATAAGAGCTTCCCCTAGCATAAAGCAATGGCCGGTGAATGAGCATCGATCGTCGATGTCGGAGGCATAGCTTGCGTCGCTATAGCCTATGAGTGCAGTTGGTGGCGTTTTGGCATAGAAGAGTGACCAATCGAGGGTACCCTTGAGGTAACGGAGGACGCGATGGACTGCAGCTAGATGGGCCTTGGTAGGACAAGAGGAAAATTGTGAGAGCATGGTGACGGTGTAGGCGAGATCGGGTCTAGTGCCGATTACTGCATACATGAGTGAACCGATTATTGACTGATATATTGTTGGATCGTCGATTTTCTCAGCTTCCGTTCCTTTTTGGAGGTGGACGTTGTTGTCGATGGGTGTTGCCACAGGTCTGGATTCGTCGAAGCCGTATTTGATGAGTACACGCTTGAGATAAGCTTCCTGTGATAGGATGATGCCAGTCTTGGTGTGGATCAAGTGGATTCCGAGTGCCCAGTTGGCTGTGCCAGTCTCCGTCATTTCGAATTCAGAGTGGAGGAGGAGGCTGACGCGGTTTTTCCGTTCAACGGACCAGTAGAAGATGAGGATATCGTCTACGTATATTGCGATGACAACTTCCCCTGTTTTGTGTATGAAGACACAAGGGTCGAAGTCTGCTTTTCTGAATCCTATTTTGATTAGCGCTTTTGAGAGGCGGGCATACCATTCCCTTGATGATTGTTTGAGTCCGTAGATGCATTTGATTAGTTTGCATGCTTTGCCGGGAGTGGGGTAGCCTGGAGGAGATTTCATGTAGATTTCTTCCTTAAGTTCGCCGTATAGAAATGCGCTTGTGACGTCCATCTGATCGCATTGGCCGCCGGTTTGAAGGCAGCGAGCGAGGAGTAGTCTGATGGATTCGTATCGGGTGACGGGGGCATAGGTTTGATCGAAATCTTGACCAGGGACCTGTGAGAAACCTTTTGCGACTAGTCGGGCTTTGTACCGTATGGGGTTGCCATCGGGCCCGAGCTTGATTTTGTATACCCATTTGCAGTCGACCAGTTTGCGGTGATCCGGTGTGTTGACCAGATTCCATGTGTTATTCCTTGCGAGTGAGTCGAGTTCAATTTTCATAGCATTCTGCCATTTTTCGGAGTCAGGACTGTTGATCGCTTGGTAGTAGTTTGTTGGTTCTGTTAGGGTAGTGTCATGCTGAATGTTGTGTCCGTATCTGACCGGAGGTGTCCGTTCCCGTGCTGGGTTACGTCTCGGTTGATCAGTATCTGTTTCATTATCATCATGCGGGGTACGTTCAGTGGCGGGCCTCGTATAGCCGGCCCCCACTATACTTGCGTGGTCTTCTGAATCAGTGTCGGAGAAATGTTCCATGGTTTCGCGCATTATCTGTTGGTTGATCATGTCGTCGTCCCTTGGGTCGTCGTCGTATTTTCTATGTTGTTTTGATGTTGACGGACGTGAGGGTGGTTCTTGTTTGATCTCGATTTGTTTTGATTTAGGGGGTGTATCGGTTTTTGTTTTGACTTCGATTTCTTCCCCTACGGATGTACCTTTAAACTTAAAATGACGAGAGAGAACTACTTTCCTTTGTGATGGTATGTATACGCGACAGATTTTTTCAGAGTCTCCGTATCCGCAGAATTGTCCCGTTATGGCCCTAGCATCCAGTTTTGTTCCTGCTGGTCGTGCTTCGACGGGTATGTGTATGAACATAGTTTCACCGAAGGATCGGAGGTGCCCAATAAAGGGTTTCTTGCCGGTGAGTGCTTCGTATGGTGTCATATTCGGGAGTGATTTGTGCGGGAGTCGATTTTTTACGTGTACCATGGTGTTGATCGCTTCTGCCCATAGATTTTTTGGGAGGTTGTGGTCGAGCAAGGCGGATCGTGCCATTGTTGCTATAGTCCTGTTAAAGCGTTCTGCTGTTCCATTTGACTCATGAGAGTAAGGTACAGTGAATTCATACTTTATGCCTTTAGAGGCGAAAAATTGTTGAAGGTCATTGGAGATGTACTCGCCACCGTTGTCGCTTCGAAACCGTTTAACCGTTTTGTCCAATTGATTTTCCATGTATGCGATGTATCGTTCTGTGGCAGCTGCTGCATCTGACTTCTTTTTGAGGAAGTAGAGGTGAGCGTACCTGGAGTAATCGTCGATGAATGTGATATAGTAACTGAAACCGCCCAGAGAAGGAGTCGAGAACTTGCCGCTCAGATCTGAGTGTATTAGTTCCAGTGGTTGTTTGGATTGTGGTTCGGTGAGAGGAGCGAGGTGAGATTTGGTTGACTTAGCGAGTTCACATGTGTTGCATGTTTCCATGTGACCAGATGTGGGGAGAGACTTGGGGTCGGCGACCATGGTGCGAAGCCGTGAGAGCGAGGAAGCGGGAAGATGTCCGAGCCGTTGGTGCCAGTCATAGAAGCTGGTGGCGGCAGAGAGGTGTGCGCAGGGTTCCTTGGTTTCAAAAATATAGAGACCAGTACTATTTGCGTTAGCAATCCCGATGATTTCCTTGTTATTTGGTTTGTAGATGGTAAAGCCGTCTTCCGTCCCAATTGTTGTGAATCCCTTTTTAGCGATGCAAGACCAAGACATCAGGTTGGTGTTGCCTAATTCGGGGATCAAAAATACGTTCTGCAGAGTGATCAGGCCATGTGATCCGTTGATGGTGACGTTGCCGATTCCGGTTATCTGGAGTTTGCGACCTCCTCCAACAGTAACTGTTCCAGTATGGGGAGTGGGGTCGGTAACCAGCGTTCCGGTCATGTGGTTGGTTGCGCCAGGGTCGAAGATCCATGCCTTGTTATCGGTGGTGGAAGGTCCTGCAATGAAGCCAAAGTAGTCTTCCATGGTAATGTCCGAGGTGTCATCTGAGAAGTTGGTGACGTCGAAGTCAACCGGCATTGTAAATACGTCGGTTTCTTCGAGTGCGGGAAGGCCAGAAAGATCGGGGATCCAAGAGAGGTCGAGTTTTGTATGAAATGCAGTACCGGACGCGACGTTGAGATTGCCAGATGCAGCGGACTTCTCCTTGTCTCTGAAAGCTTTCAGTTTCCGGCAGTTTTTGTGCGTGTGGCCTTTTGCATATTCTCCATTCTTGGTGCACCAGGTAAATGTGACGTCCCGATTTCCTGTTTCGTTGTTACGTGGCCTCCTGATTCTGTTGTTGTTTCCGTGTCCTGGGTTTCCTCGCCTGATTGTGTAGGCTTCTCCAGCCGCCTGTCCGTCGTTGTTGCGCCGTGAGTCCAGATTCAACAGCTTTTCGTAAACGTCATCGAAGGTGACGTTGGGCTTGGTTTGCAGGTTGTCAACGACTGATTCGAGGGATTCGTGCCGGAGTGAGAGGAGTAGGAAGGATGCCTTCGCTTCTGAGACAGATGCGAGTTGGTGAAGGTGGTAACCGAGTGGGTCTTTGGTCTTGTCCGTAGAGTTACTAGTTCTAGTGAGGAGAGATGACCAAAGAGTGTTGAACTGGGTTAGATGTTCCTTGATACCCTTGTCGGGTGTGTACTGTAGTGTGACGACATTAGCGAGGAGCGAGTGGAGGGAGGCGACGGTTTTCCGATCGAATCTGTCCTCGAGTTGAGTCCAGAGGTGATGAGCGGTGTCGGCCGGTGTCAGCGTGAGAATAACTTCGAATTCGATGTTAGATTGAAGGAATACAACTGCAAGGTTATCCTTTTTGTCCCAGTCGCTGATTTCTTCGGCGTTGTCGGAGGTTTCTTCTTCGTCTTCTTCAGCCTCAGCTACGCTTCCTGATGCTTGTTGTGCCGTGGTCGGTACAGTAGTGGTGGTTGTCAACACGGGACGCTTGCTCGAACCATTGACCAAGTTCCACAGATCGTGAACTTTCAACATGCGGGTAGCAAGGTCCCTCCATACAGTGTAATGGCCTTGACCATCCAGCTTGCATGGGAGTGCGGGAATTTTGATGCTCCTCTCAGACATGATTGAAAGTGAAACGAGAAAGTGTACTTTTTGGTAAAAATGGTGAAGAGTGTATAAGCGTGAGTGGTCTCCGGGCTCATAACCTAGAGAAAGTATGTAGGAGAAGTAAAGTAATTGATCGTGTGTATTGTTAGCTAAGGGGGGATGCCCCGTATTTATACGAAAGAAATGTAGTACAAAAGAAATACAATGAGTCATAGACGTGTGAGTGATAGAATGACTAATAGGAAAGTGAGTCATACGCCGATGACAAATACTATAATGAAATGATGAGAATCTTCCAGAACTATGAAACGTGCCGAGCGCCCTATTTCAAGAAAGACCCCCCACTCGCTACCTCATGCGCCTCATGTTACACAACGAGGTAGTAACGAGGCAACGAATTCAGCCCATCAGCCTCACCGATCGCAACCTCTGAGATATATGTTCATATCTACTGTCCTATAACTCCCTGAAACTCCCGACTAAGGTCAAACAACATGGCAGATCCACTCTCGGTTGCCGCCTCCATAACCGGGCTGGTCATGGCGGGTACTCAAATCGCTACTACCGTTGGTAAATTTGTTTCCACAGCGATTGGTGCTCCAGCACTTGCGAAAATAGTTCATACCGAGGTGCATGACTTTGTAATCGTCTTGTCCAGTCTCCAGCCTATCATACTCGGATCCGTCAACTCAATCTCAAGGACATCCTTGATCGATGTTGATGAACTAATCATCACCCTGACCAGCTGTATGTGCACTCTAGCCGACCTGGAGAAGGAGGTAGACTCCCTTGCTTCGGACAGCATGGATGTCCGCACCAGACTCAAGTGGGCATGGGCAGAATCCACGTTATCGGGTCTTACGCAAAGGCTTCAGAATCATAAAGCCTCATTGAACCTGATGTTGAGTATATTGACATGGTGAGCATCCCGGTAGCCGCGTCCCAGTACAAGTACATCTCCACTGGCAGTGACCCATATCCGAAGAGAGATGGATGTTTGAGAAATAGAGAGATTTTACTAATTGTTATCAATTGAATCATCCATAGCGAAACCCAAGCACAGGCAAACCAGAGTGTACAGGCCCTCCAAGCCCTAGTCCAACAGATATCTCAGCAATTAAATCAGATATATCTCAACCCTCACTCAATGCAGAATACACTGGCCTTGGGGCATACAAACGCCTTGAACGTCTCTGGTGCAAGCATCGGCTCTTCCCCAGCCGCTGCTCCTACTAGCTCCAGCGCTTCCACAATCAGAGGGAACTACGCCTCTAGCGTACTGACGATACAAAGCTCACGCGGAAGCTTGGCAAGAGGCGTTGGCTCCATCAGAAGTATCCATAGCATGTCTTCCTTTAACTATGAGAGCACTCTGCTTAACACCCGTGTGTATGCTCAAGCGCTGGCAAAGCCTTGGCATGCTGCATCCGAAGCTGCTGGTTGGTCTGTCATGTCAGGCAGGAGTTTGGCGGAAGTATCAAATATATCTGTTCTGGAACTTCCATTCCATGCGGCGTCTCTGTCAAATCCTTGGTGGTATGACGGAAGTATTGGTGCGGAAAGTGTCCAGGTTGGAAGCATTAGTGCACAAAGTATCCAGGTTGTAGCGGAAAGTGTCCAGGATGGAAGCATTGGTGCGCAAAGTATTCAGGTTGAGGCGGAAAGTGTCCAGGCTGAAAGTATTGGTGTACAAGGTATTCAGGTTGTGGCGGAAAGTGTCCGGGATGGAAGCATTGGTGCGCAAAGTATTCAGGATGAGGTGGAAGGTATTCAGGTTGAGGAAGGTTTCCAGGTTGAGACGGAAGGTGCCCAGGTTCTGGCGGAAAATATCGAACATAGGGCAAAAAATGTCGAATGGTGGCCGCACGAGCTAGGTTATTATAGGTGAGGACGAGGATTGACACCCAAGCACTGTTTTATATATATTCGGGTACTCACATTACCACCTTAGTGGGCTGGGTGACTCGCACTACTGGTCTCATGCGCTGTATATCGTTGCGACGGCCAGTAATGGTATATCATAATGCGGATGGTTGGCCCTTATATGTTACTGACATCCGTATAGGCTGCGTCAGAGTAAGATTCAGGGACCATGTCGAGCCGATCAATGACATTATTCAAGAGCTCGATGGTTTACCGATAACAGGGTTTCGCAAACCACCACCAATCCCAATTGATGATATATGCTGGTCACACCCGCGTCGTTGGATGCTCGATGAGCAGTCCTACTTCGTACAGGCCGTAAGGAAGGGCAACACATGGCTAGTTCGAAAATATCTAAATGACGGTCATGATATAAACAGCGTAAGCCAAGGGTGGTCAGCAGTCAGTTCTGCGGTAATCAAAGACGATATGGATATGGTGCTATTATTATTGTATGATGGGGTCGATGTTGAGAGGGAAGACCTGTATGGCAACACACCCTTGCAACTTGCTTCACGTCGTGGAAACGACAAGATTATTAGTCTACTCCTCGACTACGGCGCGGATATTACTCGCTGCTGCAGCAAAGGAAGTATAAATCCTCACAGGGGCCAGAGCATTTGGCTTGCTGCACAGGAGGGGCATACCGCCGCTGTCGCCACCCTTCTCAAGCATTCCAATGCCTCCACCCTCCTCAAACGCTGCGAGATATGTCAGCGCTCTCCTGTTGGGGAATGCATCACAGAGCGCGATTTTAAGACTTTGTGTTTCATTGGGTTCTCGTTTTCGAAGAATGGCGGGCCGGAAGAGATAAGGAGCAACCTGATAACGGCCGCCATCCATACAGAACGGTACTTTCTTGCAAGAGAGCTAGTATTGTGCAGTAAGTCTGCCGATTTGCCGCTCCCCAAAGACCCCTTGATGTTCCATTCGGCCATTAGGGCAGGAAGCGTGGAGCTGGTCGAAGCCTTATGTAGCGTCGGTGCTGCTAGGCAAGATATGCTTGACGAGAACGGCCAAACGCCAGTAGAAGCTGCCACTAAGCTAGGATTCTCGGCAATTACTCAGTGTCTATTGGAGAATGGCTTTGATCCCGAGGACCCGAGCGCGGCCGAAACCAGACGGTTTATGGTAGCCATGGAGAGTGGGGACGATCTTTCTGCTGTAGAATCATTGAACCATCAACTGGTCCAGGATAAGACTGATTGCGACACATACCTGCGCAAAGCTGTTTCCAAGGGTCTTGATCAACTTTCTATGAGGCTAATTGAGCTTGGTGCTCCAATTGATCAAAGAGACGAGATGGGATCAACAGTTCTACATGTCGCAGCAGCGGCAGGTGACCCATATATCGTCAAGTTACTCTTGATGTATGGATGGAGTCGGAATGCCAAGGACAATAACGGAAGGACTGCTCTTATACATGCTATTCGCGCTGGCAATCATGAAGTCTCCAAAGCGCTCTGCCCACCGATGGAACATACTGACAGGTTGTATATTCCATTACACCAATTAACTGCGTGTTTTGATTGATGGTTAGTAGATCTTAATAGAAATATCATGGTGGAACTTTCTCCATTTACAATTTGCCGTCGTAGCATGCAAGGAAGATCACCATGCACGCCATAAAGTAGCAACTAAAGTGGTATCGCTCGTACGCGTGCAAAAAGCGGGATAGGGCCTTATACCTGTATCATGGATATAATGAGCTCAAGGGTGATGGTACATGCGTTACAGGAACCATATCATGGAGTATATGCGGCGATGTAGCTCTCGATTTCTAAATATAATGACAACTGATCCTTCAGCTAAACAGTGCTAGTGGGTGATCCTCATAGGGAATACGTAGCTAAGACCCAGTGAGCAATGTCGGAAGTTTTAATTGTTGGCTGCCATAGCAACAAAGTACTTGAGTTTTGGTATATGATGTATCTACATATGTGATGTGCGATGGATCAACTTTGCCAGACAGGATCTTCCATCCTTCATGAGACATGATGAGGCTCAAAGGTTTGGACAGTGCAGGGGTGCGGAATTCTCCGGGCGATCTCCCGTGGTGACACAGGCCATATGCAGGAACAGACTTGGCGGACTGACAGATGTACATGTAGCTTGGCGCACACACAACTTGACACCAGGGTATTCAATGTGCGGATGGGATGGAGCTGGAAGATCAGGACCAAAGAATTGGCGACCAATGCGGGTAGCGATTTTTGAGAATGACTGTTTTGTGAACCCCAAGAGGTTTAGCAGCCTTAGTACGAACTACATGTACATGTTGGTCGACTTGGCTTCCAAACTACAACAAAAATGGTCTCCCATTTTTCATTCAGGCTTTACACACAGGCTCACCCCACGATTGAAAGCTCGAGATATATCGATAGACTCACGACCAATCTATTTAGCCGCAAGACCAATCTATTTAGCCGGGAGGCCAAGCACAGTGACCACGTGAAAAGATCAATAGCTAAATGGATCATAGACTTTCCAATTTATACGAGTGTGACACTGTGAACCCAATGGGCAGATATATCGATATGTACTTCTATCAATACTTCCCTGCTAGTATGCATATGTATATAAATACAGATACTTATATATCACTACAGCTACCATCACAAACCTACATGTATGCAAGTATATCACACCGGCGGGGGAGGCCCGTTGTTGGAGTGAAGGTCATTAGTGTCCAGTGGAGGAAGTAGCAAAGGGACTCTGTGATTGTTGCTTACCTGTACCCGCACCCACTGTCATTTCCGCTTTCTTCTTTTCCTTCTTTCATCACGAATCATTACTGTACTTTCATCAACTAATCAAGTCTTTCATCACGAAACCATCTCAACAACCATCATGTCCTCCATTCGAAAATCGATTTCTCGCCAAGTGCAAAGACTGGGTAATCTCTAGTATTTCGATGAATTTTACCACCTATATAGAAGGGATGAGTTAAATCTTTCGTTTCAGTCTCAAAACAGTTCAATTTCATCTCACTGATAGATAGACATAGGCATGCATCATATCCATGATATGAGACGTAGTATGAATAATGGCGGTGAAACGAACATATCTTGTCCTCGATCATTCCTAAACTACATCATGGCCCACTGACCATACACAGAGCCGTACACATGGATATCCAATAAAAACTCCTCCACATAGTTCCCCCCGCTGCCCCACGTCACGACATGTACATGTTTTCTCTACAACCCCCCCCCCCCCCACGCGCTCGACTAATCGGACACTCGACCAAACCACCCCTCCTTTGTTACAATCTTTGGAGTACATCCAACGACATGGAGAACTATCCTACCCAATGTCCAGTCGGCGTCCTTGAGACTGGAGTACTTGTTACTATCGTCCTGGTTATTGTACGCCTCCTCCAGCTTGTCGTCTACCGTTTTGCCGTTGCAGATCCTCGCCTGCATACGGGTAATAGATCTGTTTGCCGTTTTTGCGCGGAGAAGCTTGTCGTATGCCTGTTTTGCGTCATCTGCTGCCTTCTTCCTGTCACTCCTTGCCTCCTTGGCCTTCAGTTTGCAAGTATCAAGGTAATCGCCTGCTCTTTCGGTGTCTTGGACGGCGAGCATGAGGTCTTCTCTATTGGCCTCATTGGGTACGGCCAGAAATATCTCTTTGAGTTCCTTGATATCCGCGTTTATCTCTGTCTGTGAGACCGATCCGTTTTCCCTATCTTCCTTCTCCTTTGCAGCGTTTGCCTCGATGGCTTCCGTTTCCGCCCTCTCCGCCGCCTTCAGTTTGCGCTCGAGGGCTGCGTAGGCCACCGTTGATCCATCCTGCGCATCCTCCTCCGCATTCTCTGCGGCTATCTTGGCATACTTTACTCTCTCGGTGGCGTATTCGCGGGCGGCCTTTACAGCCTGAGGGGGCATAGGGATCCCAAACCCTAGGAATAACGTACTCATCACTATCGCCGCCGTGAAGAATCCGCGTCGGAGGTGCTTGTAGTCTGACGCGCGCTCCCTGGGCCTGTCGGCCTTCAAGGTTTCCCAGTCCCTCTTGGAATAATCCACAACAGTGTCCCAGAATGCCTTGAAATCCTCCTTTTCGTTGTCTCCCGAGCTGCGAAAGATGCCATGCGTGGCGTGCCAGTACACAGACGCACCACTGAATTTCTCCTTGTCAAACTTCAGCAGCGGGTGCCCGGTCTTTTCGTCGCGGAGGAGACATCCCACGGACTCTGGGCAGTCGGAATTCCCGTTGCTCTTGCAACGATAGATGCAGAGATCACCGTCACGGCACTGGGGGTCGGGACAATCCAGCAGCGAGAGGGCTTCCTTCATGCACGCGGAAAAGTCTCCAGTGCCCATCACAATCTTGTCAGATCCCGACAGACGATACGAGTATCCTTTGGGCAGGCATGGGTCCAGCGGCATTGCACTATCACTTGCGCGTAGCCTCTCGAGGTGGCGCTTCCACGCGCTGTCATTCCCGATTCCCATCCAGGTCTTGACATAGACGTCGTAGGTCGTGTCCCAGATATTCACCAGACGAAGGGGCCCATCGTATTCACCGTGGTCTTCATCACGCTTGATGGATACCGCAAACTGTGCACTCTCACCGCCGAGCTCCATGAACCCGTGTGGGGTGCCGCCTGACTTGAAGGCCCCGTCGACAAAGTTCGCAGCCACCCAGCCATACATTGCCTCGTCCTCGCCGGATATTGTGGCATACGTGGTCTTCTCGAATTGTGTGCTGGAGAGATAGGTGTTGATGGCATTGAGGAGGACCTGGTAAGACTCGTATTGGGTGAGCTCGATACGCCGCATGCCGCCCGTTGCCAGTATAAACAGTGGAGTGGTCCTAATCTCCAACTTTGGAATGAAAGTACAGGCATGGTCGAGGAGTGGGCCGAGGTATTTCTTCACTCTGTCGAGTGTCTCCGCAGATATCTTAGCAGTTGTCGCTTGCGGAAGCTGTTCAGAGAGATGCACGGGGGCATCCAGGTCGACTGCCTTGATGGTTGCAATCACAGGAGCCAAGGTGGCAATACCTGTTGCACAGAGGTGGACGATGTTAGCACTACGACGGACTGTTCACAACGATCGTGGCCTTCCCAATACTGGGAGGGAAGGTGTGAACAAGATCGTACCGGGATTGGTCTTTTTGCTGGTATAGCCATTGACCAAATCAATCTTCGTGTTGGACATTTCTCCGCGATCGACTGTCCATTCATAGACATAGACCCGAGACCCGCTAGATCCTGCGTCAATGAGCACGGCATCTAGACCTCACATGTCAGTAATCGTCCTGAAGCCTAAAGAGAAAGGCGGAGGCCAAGGATTTCATGGGTCTCGGGAAAGGAAACAGAAATATAGTACACTTTGTTCCTTCGACCATGGTTATCAGTATTCCCGGCGTACCCTTCTTCGGCCTGAAGTGTGAGATTCGAAATGGTAAGAGAACCCGGGGCGTAGTAGGATCAAAATATCACTTGGGGGGTAGATGGTGGATAGGCTCTTCTCAGCTAGGATATTAGTTTGTGAGAGACCTTGGGCAATATTATATCCTTTTCAGTCGCTCCTATTGAGGCACAAGATAGATGCCTCTGTATCGAAGAGATCACATCTTAGACTCCCACAAAGCCTTGAGAATAACGAATCGGGTCAGACTGGATGCTGGTCTAGGCCATAACCATATGGCTGCTCTCCCGGCAGTTGTAACTGGTGCTAGATTACAGTATAATAATTCGGAAAAGAGCGTTTCCATCAGGCACACGAGAATCGGGTAATGCGCTCAATTCATGACTCAAAGGCTGGTGGTGCAACATCGAGTTGCCTCCCGGTTATCCATATCTTGATGATATTGAAGAATAGTATTGACAATTTCCAAGACGGCAGCTTTTCGTTTCAATTTTTTCAGCATTGATATCGAACCATCAATGCATGTTTAGAGGTTTCTCCAGCTGAACGGGATTCTAGACCTGTTCCAAGACGCAGATTGGGGTTGACAACGCAGCTCGTACTGCATACATTTCAGCTCGACCTTGATAGAAAATGAATGCAATGAGGCATTAGCATGCGGGGTAATTGCGACATAGTACATGCAATACACAAGGGAATAATATACCCTGCATTCAAGATTGACGAAATATGTTTATCTGCTTTGACGGGAATGTCGATCACCGTCCACATTTATGGTATCTTACAGTCTGCAATTGACCCAAAAGGTTTTGTGACAGATCCGTTTTGTGGATGCAGGGCAACAGACAGCCCAATCATCATGAGGCTTGGCGACTGATCCTGCGAGGGCACCGGAACCACCCATCGAGGCGTTATTGGCTCAAGGGATCTACTCTAGCGGCTGGATTGAAGCCGCTCAGACAGAGAAGGTAATTGATCTGAATACTGCAAGAACGTGTTCTTTGGGCGGCTTCGAACTGGCCGCGCGAATAAGTATTAGTGTCTAAAGCAGTAATCCGCATCCGCATCCACCTACATACGTACTCCACAGTTCGATCAGCAGATCCGAAAAACGAGCTGAACATTTTAGTAGCGTGGTAGATCGTTAGTCTATGAGAACTCCATTCAAGGTTTAATTATGCGAACATCTAAGGACGTGAAGTTTCAATATACATTTTGGTGGCGTACAGTCAGTCCTCAACCAACCCAATAAGCACATGTAGTTACTAGAGCACCCGGGGGATTATTTCGAAACCACCCGTGGGCTTTATATCATTGAATGTCACATCCACTTGTGCTTTATCTCCACGATGGTTCAATTATCATTCGATTATGCACGGGTTATCGTGATATTCAGCGGAATTGGAGTGCGGGGTTAATTAGGGGGGGGGGGGGGGGGGAAACCATTCACTATTCGGCGGTCCGGAACCATTCTTGGGAACATCAGCTCATGTAGGCGCACGGTGTGGTATTGACGGCAGTTTGGGTCCAACACACTCAAGGACACCCTATATGGCCATAGTAATGAATCCCTGTGGGGTGGAGGCTTGAACTGTCTCAATCTTCATAATTGTGCCATGCCGATGAGGCGGATATCCACTCTTGTGACGGTGCAGAGTACAAAGATTAGTACGGAGGTAAAGGAGTGTAAACAGTCAAGATATAAACAGCTTGTTCGGCCCAGCTAGATCTCAATCACCCCTATAAAGCCAGCGGTTTTACAACTGAAGTCCACAAGGCTCTATCACTCTTTCACAGACGTACCATCTCAACTGCATTGTCCATTATTTTGCCTCCCCAGGACTACCCCAGCCACAGCCATGACACCACATCCTCCCAAAGTTCTCGCGGGAATACTCAACACAGAATCTGAGCGTGCTTGGGAAGATACCAAGGATCGGACCGACCTTATTTTAACACAAAGATTCCCTAAGAAAACGTACCTCGATGCTCCCAACGTCGTCGTTGCACTAAAGCATTTTGACCTCGGCATGGGCGGTAAAGCCATCGGCGTCAAAGCAGCTACCGACTGCATTGAGAGAGACCACTTCAATACCCGCCTCAGTGTCTGGGGAGATGGTGCAATGTCCTCTTCTGGCTGCGCCTGGATGGCATACCAGGCCACAGACAAGAGGTTTCGTTCCGGCACGGTTAGAACGTCACGCCGCTCCAAAATGCCCTCGGAGTTTCCGATCGAGTTTGAGACACCCTTCGAAGGTGATCCGACAGTCCTTGTGTGGATCAGTGGCTTCCAAATGGGCTTGGGGGCTACTTGGGAGATGAAGGCGCATGCCATAAAGATCGAGAAGACTAGCTTCACCTTGGTAGTCGAGAAGGGGATCCAGACAAACCTGCACCAAGGCCTGTTCTCATGGCTCGCTTTCATGCCGGGAGAAGGCGTTGCCGGTGGGAGCGTTGAAGATATCAAAATAGGTGGTGGAGAGGGTACGGCTGCTGCGGATGGCAGTTACGTTTGGACTGATCCAAAGGAAATCTCATTTGGGAAGACATTGAATGGGGTGACCAAGGACAATGTCATGGTGGGGATATCCGCCATTAAATTCGAGCGTGCGGCGATGAGGTTGTGTTATAAGCATGTAGAGATCAATGATGATATGAATGGCATGAAACTTACATCGGGTACTTGGTGGGGGTCCGTCGTACGCTCTGCTACAATGTCATGGGTTGCGGTGGTTTGATCTGAAGGTATTAGTTCTAATAGGCGTGGGCCTTACGATCAGTGTATGATGCATGCATGTAGTATACCTTTTAATGCCTCATTGAACTGAAGGCTAGGCAGCAATACATGTACCTCGTGGATTGCAGAGCTAGCCCACTCATACGTACACTATTTTCTATTCTATTCTTTCTTACTTGGTTCCACCTGCATGATGCTAGAGTTTCCAAGATACCAATCACAAAGTGTCCACACAATTGCTAAGCATCCGCTCCTTGTTTTGTCACATCGTCTACCAAGTCATCACATCAGTAGAATATGTATGTGTGGCTTTGAAGTTGTGTTCCGTACCTCTTTTGGGGTTCCTTGGGTATCTGCCTCGAGTTCTGCGGTTCTAGTTAGGAGCCCGGAATTGTGTGCTTTAGTTAGAACTATCGAGGGACCCTGCAGCTGCGAACGGAATTTCTTTTTTATCAACTGTACAACTGTGGAAACCCAGTAAGATATTATAATTTGTGCATAATGAGTGCCCATCTAACCAACTTCGATATCCTGTCTTTTAGAAGTTACAGCTTGGGAGTACTAGTATGACATTCAGGATCGATCTTCTATAGTAATAATACTTGTTTACATCTAGGTAGGTCAATCTCTGGGGGACGTACTGTCAAAAAATAGATGATAAAAAGGCTCATTTCATATAATTTAGAGTAAGTATAGATAATAATTCTTTCCCAGCAGCGTCTAATGTGTGCATATGTACCACCGTCTTTCGATTAGATCAACACTGACAGTTCACCAATGCAATCAATGAATTAAACTAAAAAAAAAAAAAAAAAACTTACAGTTCACCAACATAACCCTAACCCTAACGCTCATCTTCCGTGATAAGAGTTTACCCTCTTAGGATACGCTTAGCCGTAACTAGAAGACTTCGACCACTCGGGAATCGGCCGGGCCATACGGGAACACACGTTCCCGGATGGTTAACATTCTCAGTCGCACCATCCGCACAGAGCACATCCGAAAGCGCTCACCTCCCATTAAGCTCACCTGCTCATCTACCCGACTTGCTCCGAATCCTCTCCCTGTCGCTAGTAGGTACATATCCACAGAACTTCCTGGCTATATGTATGTACAAGCGTGCTAGCGACAGAAGGACACTATTATGACTGAAATGTTATTGGCAGGGTCAGGATTCGTGTTTGATTACAGAACTCGGATTTCCAAGTTTTGGCCACATGTCCTGGTCAACGCTTCTGCGATTAATGCAGGATCTATCTTTACCATCCTATACAGTCCTTCAAGCTCTGCTGGATTTATAGTCCTGCATCACGGAATACGGTGGTTTCGGGCAGGGTTCTAGGGAGAAATACATTTATTTACCGCCCCCCAGCACTCAACCCCCGCACGTACGGGTACCGCCAGCACCCTAGCCCTATGTGTCCTGGATTATAGCACCAGAATACTAGTACTAGTAACCTACTCATCAGTATACTGCCCCGTAAAGAGTAAGTGAGTTGACGAAAGTGAAAAAGCGACGATCACAGATTCTCACTCGATCACAAACCTATCACTCGACTTAGGTCAACTATGTATTCATTTTTGCGGTTGCAAGCTCAAAAGACAGTACCCGACTAGATGCAAGTGGGTTAAGAATCCACAATCTCAAAAGCATATCATCTAACGATGTTTCTCCATACACCTCTTGGAAGTGCCCATACAGTGCCCGCTTAGGTGGACAATGATGCATTCACCCACCGACCTCTCGGGAACCAATTTGAATCTTCAGACAGATCCAAGTTTGAGAATTTGGTGCTTTCTACGCTTGCTGTATTGGCCTTGAGGAAGATCCAAAGGATCTCCATGTATCTTTCTCTGTCTCCAGGTTACCTCAATGTCATGCCATGCAGCACGCTCAGACTGTTGGGGTGGGGGGGGGGGGGGGGGGCGGCCCACAGCTGACAGCCCGAGCGGCACCAAAGTGCCAGCGGGGACGGCAGGTGACTAAATCACCCGAGATGACCGAGGGCAGTTATTCCGAAGATTAAAGAGTTGTGCTATACTTTTCCCCCCAAGTCCAAATATAGAAAAGAAGAGGAGGAGGAGGAGAAAAAAGCAAGAAAACTAATTGATTGAAAACATATATCGTCTATCCGCAAAAAGCATATTTACAAACAGCTTGGGAGGTGAAACCCTAACCAACCGCCAACCACCCCGGGCACGCATTCCCTAGCGGTCCCGTCCCCCAGAGGGTGAGAAGGGGGGAAGGAATCGCACTGGAGAAACCAATGGACCCCCTGATATTTGCGGCGCTGCCGAGGCGGAAGCAGCACGACGGTGTGCGGAAGAGACGGGCGGGGCTATGGAATATGGCAGTCAGGAACTATACCAGGGCCCGTGAGATAGTGAGGGTTTGGCTGTTGGCATGTTGAGAGGTTAGATGATTATCAAGGTTAGCAATAAAGGCTTTGATCATAAGAGTCAGTTATTTGCAATAGGTCTAGTCTCAGGTTTATCCACAGTGTCTCCCTTTAGAAAGGTTCTAACGATAATGTATATATGATATCCCAGCTTCCAGAAGATGCAAAAGAACTGAATCGTAGATGAAAAACACTAACATATTACCCTAAGTCACGGAGTAAACCAGCATAAACAACTCAAACATATCTCTAAGCTGACGAAATCCATCATCTATCACCCGCAGTCCTCTTACTCGGCATCTCACCCGTCGACGAAGCCTCTCTCGATCTTTTCCCCATATTCACGGTCGAAGACAGCTTCTCAACCGCTACCTCAAGGTCATCACCCCCTTCGCCGTCCGTCCCCTCTCCCGGCTCCCCATCCCAGTCCTCCTCATCCTCCTCATCCTCCCCCTCCGACAGCTCCAAATCCTCATCCACAAGCGTCACCTCCGTTATGTCCACTTCCTCTTCCTCCTCCGCCACCCCTTCCCTGACGTCCCCGAGCTTGTACTCAAAGTCTCGCCAATCCCAACACGACTTCCACCGGTAGTCTGCCTCGAGCGCCATGTTATCGACGCTGGGCGCAGACAGAAACCGCAGCTTCACCTTGCGGTACAGCACGGCGAAGACCTGCTCCCCCTGCGTCTTATACGATAGCTGCTGTGTGTCCCCGGAGCTTCTCGAGCCGCTCACCCCGGGCGCCACAAACGCCGAGACTATAGGATCCGTCGGCGCTTCACCCTGCGAACCACCTGTCTGTTTCGACGTCGCAGATTTGTCCACCTCGCCGTCGTGCAGCACGCGGAAGCCGACGATGAGATACGCGCAGTCCGGCCTAAAAACGATGTGTCGAAAAACTCCCGCGTCTTCTCCTCGGCGCAGGCGGCGCGGAACCACGTGTCGGAGTTCTTGAGCTCGTAGGTGGTGACCTTTGAGCCGCTGAGGGTGGCGGTGGTGTCGTCGTGGCGTGTGTACGCGAAGGAGAGGGTCTTGCCGAAGTAGGAGCGAAGGTTGGAGGCGGTGGTGAACTTGCGGGTTTCGGAGTAAGGGGAGAGCGTGGTGGTGAGGATGTCGGTGGGGTGGGGGCGGGGCAGGAGCGGGTCGTGGAATTCTTGGTGCGGGCGTTTGGCGTTGAGGACGAGGCGGCCGAGGTGGACGGAGTCGAGGGGGAGGAGGTGGTGGAGAATGTGTGCGGTGGCTGTCATTGTGTGGGGGGGGGGGTGCTGTAGGAGGTGGTGAGGATTGACTGTGGGTGTTTGATTATAGGCTGATCCTTCTGGAGGTGACGATGAAATTCGAAGGTGTAGAGAATTTGATATCTCTCAGGTAGATGCTTGAGTGCCTGTACCTCTATATCTAGATTGAAAATCGTGCTGGGGATTAGTATTTTAGCAGAGGGATACTTAACTCAACCTGTTTTGTGTTCAGTTATATACCGCTGTAGATCCTTGGACTATTTCCTGGTTGGTGCATCTCACACTGTCGAATCAGAAACACCCTCATAGGAAACATTCCAGGGGTGTGTGTGGTGCTGAAATAGAAATCGACATGTCATATGCAGGTCAATCCAGCCTGCATGTGAATCCATACATGCGCAGTGCGTATATGTTTGCTGCGCACACTTGACACAAACCACTACAGCAGGTTGGATTGTTTCGGGAAAGGTAACGGGAACTGGAGTATGCAGAAATATGATGTGTTGTCGAAGTGTGCGGCCTTACAATTATCTAGAATTGTACCAAGTTTGCGGTCCACAAGGTACTTTTAGCTTCGAGGTGAGTGATGTGTGTCGGAGGAGTCCTGAATTTTGTTGTACGGTACTAAGTATCTTAAGTTCTACTTTTGCATTGAAAGAGAGTGGTGTGTTTCCAGCTTTCGAGCCCGTACATAATGTTGTAGATAACGCCTGAATTGGGTAGGTTGTTGTGCCTTTAGTGGCATTGGTGTTCTCCACCCTGGTCAGCCAGACAAGGCCACATATTGTGCGTTTTGCAATTGGCATCAAGTTCAGATTGCCGAGAAATCTATGCATCTCGAGATCCAACCTACTTGGAGATATTCTGACTGAAGCCAACATAAACCCCAAATTTCAATGGCCAGTAGCAAAATCATATACAGCAAAAACTCGAAAATTGGCTATCTCCGGCCAGGGACTACCCCACCAACGACCGCCGAAGGGTGTAGATCAGGTCCGCTAATAGCAATTTTGATCTCATATGCACAGCCAATTTTTCAAATTATAGCGGTATGTACATCAATGTCGCCATAAGGTCATACCATTGCGTGACTAGCTGCCTCACCACACGAGCTCATATTGATCTGCGCTCCTTCAGTCATGTGTCCTTCGCGCTGCATAATAGACTAGTGTCATAGATAATCATGTGCGTAGTTTCCGGGCGAACTCATTGTCTTCCACCCCAGGTCCCACCAATCATCACCTCCGCAAATCTACTTGTTTACCATGAAAAGAGTTAGAAAATGCAGTTGCTCAAGGCAAGGATTATTTGTATGGAGTGGCGGTGGTCTCTCATACAAACTATCCCTGTTTCCGTCACTTGCATTTCTGATTCTTTTCGTGGTAAACGAGTAATGTGAGTCAATGCTCCTCGCCAGATCCAGACATCCCCACTATTAAAACCCGCAGTAGGCGCAAATAATTGAGGCATGCGCCCCCACCCCCATTGTGTAACTGTGGATTTGGCCTAGTTTCATGTATAGTACGCTTGATAAACACAGGGAATATGTAGCGCTTATATATGGCGTCCCCGCCCCCCAAGGTGGTGCTGGGTGAGCGTAAACCGCAAACTCCTCGGTCGAGGTATTTGTTGCAGCCAAGGGTGAGAGAGATATCACTTCCACAACTCCAAACCTCCCAAGCCTCACCACTACCACATACGCACCTCCTCGGAACACTCCTCCTCCCAGTGCACTTCCGGCAATGGACAACCCCCAAATGGCCGATCCCACCACCACCACCACCACCCAGAACACCGCACAAAGCATCCTAGCCCTCAATGAAATCAAAACCATCGAGAGCCTCCACCGCATGTTCCTCTCCGGCGGCAACACCATGCATCTCAACATCGCCATCAAGATGGCCGAGCCCCTTGTGGCGTCCGAGAAGTCGGTTAAGCCACTATTGGCCAAGATGCGTGGGGAGTTGGCGGGGGCGGAGAAGGAGGGGAGGGAAAGTGTAAGGCCCTGTTCTGGAGTGTGGTAATGTGGGATTCGGGATTGTTGAATAGGGGAAATTGTAGTGGCGGTATTGCGGCTATGCTGCTGCAGAGAGGCAAGCCGGAAACAAGCAATCGATCGCCGATGTATGCGAAGAATGCGTGTCCGGAGGAGAGCGCGGATAATGTTGTGGATCTGTTTAAGCAGCTGGCTCTGATGTTTGATACGACGGGAGATCAGGTGTACCTGGATGGCGCTCTAGGCGTGGTTGAAGGGCTGGAAATCGTCGATCCGAGAATTATAGGAGACATACAACGTTTGCAATTAGCACATAAGGCTAGGGCAGACCTAGAGGCGGACTTGGACGACATAATGGAGGGGTTAGTTATAAGCTCATTCTCCATTCTGATCAAAGGTTATTGCATCATGGCTAACACCCTTGGATAACTGCCAAGGGTTGAACAGCAGATTGCGGGAACCATCCCAGAAGATGGGGCAGAGAGCAGCGGACAGGATAATTCAGATTGCGGTTCTGATTTCAAAAAGGAAATTATCCGTCTATCAAGAATGGTTTCGTTAGAAACCATAAGCCCGGAGAGTGCCTTGGATTCAGTTACTAGATTGATCTCTCAAGACGAGCGGATACGTAATACCTTACCCCTGCTATCTCAAAGCCTTCGGGTCAGCAAGCTGCAGAGTATCAAAACTTACATACGCTCTTCATACACGTGGTAATATAAATAGCTGCCCATGCATGGCGGAGACAAGACACATAGAGCTGGCTAACCACCCAATTGCAACGAGAAGGTTATGGCAACGAGAACTCCAGGTGGCGGAAAAGATGTGTGAGACCTTAAAAGCTACAGGTGATGATGACCCTGTGGCCGTCGAAAAGGCCTCTCGTTGTTGGAAGGCTTGATCCTCTCAGCTCCCAGCCCGAACCTTCGTACACTCGTCCACGCCGCCCTCATCGCCATCTTGGGGAGAACACCTGATCGTAAGCGCACTATTGAGAACATTGAAAGCGACATTGAAAATACTCGAAATCTACTCAAGGAGATGCCGCAACATGACATTGAGAGGGAATCGTTGATGTCTATTCTTGGGATAAAAATATTCGGGAAGTATAAAGTTTCCGGTGCCAAAGGTGACCTGGATAAAGCTATTCAGATTGTCCTGGAAGCAGGAAACAGTATGAGGTGTGACCATCCTTGTCGTAGGGTGACCGTAAAATTCCTGGAGATTATGACAGAATCAAGGACATTGCTGGGCGAGGGTGCCGGAGAAGAAGCCCTAGCGAAAGAAACCGGAACCTCTGGTTGGGATGCTGTTGCAGCACCTCAGCAGTCTGGCGGCAACGAAATAACGGAGAATACGATGAAGGATGGTCAGCTGATGCATCACCAAGTAGAGATATTCCAAGATCATCTGAAGCCTATACCCAACAAATGCTTGACGCCGCTGCGCAACATGATTCCAGCCCCCTTTGTAGTGCACTGACCGTGAACGAACTCATTCCTTCCTATATTTTCGAAAACAGTGATGCCCAAGACCCGGAACCCGTCGCTAATCTCGACAAAGAGCTGGCCAGAGCTCTCCACCTGGCCAGAAACCTACCTCCGGAATATAATGAGCATCGACCAGAATGGCTCTTGAAAGCTAGCGTGGTTCTTTTCATCAAGTACCGGAGACTCAAGCAACCGGAGTACCTCAATCAGGCAATCGACCTGGGTAAAGAGGCAGTGGCCACAACTGCTCCATCAAACTCATATAGACTGAGGGCAACACAAGTGCTTGTGGGGCTGATGCAGGTTCGATATGAGCTACTTGGTGTAGATGATGACTTGTCGGAGATGATTCACCGGAATAAGGAGATAGTCACGGAGATGTGGGAAGAGGATTCTGATCGAGAGGTCTGGCTCCAAACGCTTGCCATCTCGACTCGCGAGAAGTATTTCAAATCAAGGACAGTGGAAGACCTTGAACAGGCACTAGTTTATGCAAAAGGATTAGTTGATAGAACCGACATTGACCATGAGGATCTTCCGCAACGACGAGATACCTTGGTCAATTTACGCATCTTAAAATATCGTCAATCCGAAGATATCAAAGACCTCGAGAGGGCCATTGAAGCTCCGGAAAGCTCAATAACCTCTCCAGACCATCGATTCCGGTTAAGACATATTATCCTTTTGAGCAATTGTCTTGAGATCATGCACCTCAAATTCAAACGCGAAGGATGTCGTGACAGGGCAATCAACATGTTGGGAGAGGCTAGTCTAGCCCCGACTGATGGTGGTCCTATCCGTCTTACGCGCTGGTTCGGCCTATTTGAAATGTCAAGTGCGCGGTTTGCCGACCTACAGGATTTCAACGACTATGAGCGGAGCACCCACTACGCCAAGAAGATCTTAGTTCTTCCAGAACCTGGTGCTTCAGAAAGGGTAATAGCCTTGGCAAACATGCCAAGAACCATTGGGAGTACTACATGCTCTCGGCAGAGGTGAGGATCCTTGAGGAGGCCATTACAGCAGGTAAAATGAGCGTAGAGATAGCTTCAGCAGAGGGATTCAACGACCCTAGATACCAGCTCAGTGACCGACTGCGCGACCTTGGGGGTTTGTATACAGACCGATATAACCGATACGGCGAATTTGTAGACCTTGAAACATCAGTCAGATATCTTGAAAAAGCTATATCATTGGATAATAGTAATCCGTCGGTCGAGCTATTGATGCGTCCTTCCTCGCATTACAAGACGAGATTCGAGCTCCTTGGAGGTCTTGACGACTTGGACCGTTCCATTGAACTCTACGGGCAGGCACAGAGTAGCATGGCAGCTAGCCACCGGGGTCAAGCTGTGTTTTCAGCCTTTTTGGACTCACTCCTGATCTCGAGGTACGATCAGCGGGGAAATAAAGAGGACCTTGACACAGCTGTGGAAATGATTCAAATGGCTTCCCAGCTTGAACCCCAAGTAGTAGATCACCTTCCCGAGTGTCTGTCACTTCTATTAGCTATCCGTCGGGAGTACAAGAAGTCCAATAATCAGAAAAAACTGCTTGACGCAATTCAAGCATGTAAGACAGTGCCGGTAGACGCGGTTGATAAAAACAGGCCGTTGCGACGTAGCGGAATAAGTGTGTTCATGAGCGTCTTGCTTTCGGAATCATATAACGAGTCCCAAAACATGCAGGACCTTGAAGATTGCATAAAATATTCCGAAGAGGTAGTGGCACAAACACCCCGAAACAACCCACGCAGAGCAGCCAATCTCTTGATGCTTGGTACCGCGATACATAAGCGTTACTCGGCCACTCAGTCCAACCACGACCTCTACTACGCACTGAGTACGTTTTACGAAGCCTGGCACTGCCGCCTATCCCCGGTGGAGGAACGTATCCGGGCAGCGTCCCTGCTGTGCGAGATTCTTACAGAGAAGCACATGTGGCAGGAGCTGAGTCCAGTTCTTCAAAGTGCTATTATGCTTCTTCCAAACGTCAGCAAACGGTCCTTGCGCAGAAAGGATCAGGAACATCACTTGGCAAAGTTTAGGGACCTTGTAGTGAATACTATACCGTTTCTACTCAAAGCGGGGGAGGACGCGGCGTGTTGCCTTAGAATCTTGGAATTTGGTCGAGGGGTGATTATGGGCATGGTGATGGATTATAGAAGCGAAACCGCTATATCAAAGCTCAAAGAAGCACATCCGGATCTTTTTACAAAATTCAAGAGGCTATGCAAAGAAATCGACCAACCACTTTCAACTGAACCACCAATGGCGGAGATGCTTGACCAGCTGAGGGACCGGAGATCTACTCACCTACAAGACCATCGGGACCGAGAGAATTCAGTGAGGAGTATGGAGGAACTCGTCGCAGATATTAGAGACCTGCCTGGTTTTGAAGGCTTCCAGCTCCCGCCCCGGTCCGACGAATTGATGGCTATGGCTAGTGAAGGGCCGATTATCACTTTTCTTTGCACAAAGTGCAGGAGCGACGCAATTATCGTGACCGCTACCTCAATCAAGTCTCTTAGGCTACCGAAATTGATTTATGAAGATGCCGAACCGTGGATGAGTAAGATATCGACACTCGTGCGCAGCAAACGATCCAACTACGAAGAAAACAATTCCCAAATGGAACAACTTCTATCGTGGTTATGGGATTCTGCAGTAGTGCCTGTACTGAACGAGCTGCAGCTCCTGAGAATCTCGGGCGACAAATTACCGCGGGTTTGGTGGATTGGCACCGGAGTTCTAGCTAGGGCTCCGTTTCACGCTGCTGGTAGACACTCCCGCCGCTCCACTGAAAACACCTACAGCCACATTATATCTTCCTATATCCCAACCATCAAGGCACTATCCTATGCCCGCCGGAGAAAACTGCAACTGTTGAGCAGACCCGACTCATCGCTCCTCGTGGTTACTATGCCAACCACCCCACCCCAGCGTAGTCGGGATACTACCCGGCCACCCAGAACCCCTGGTCCGCTGAAATCCACACTTGAGGAGGCGAGCGCAATTATGAGGGCTGCGGCCGGAAAGACCAGTGTAGTCCAATTTAACCATCCCAGTGCAGAATCCATTATGAGGAAGCTCTCTGGGTTCCAAGCAGTTCACTTTGCCTGTCACGCCGTTTCCGACAGTACAAGCCCCTCCCAAAGTTGCCTACTCCTGAACGGTGGCACAGGAATGCTTGATACCCTAACAGTCGAAAGGCTCTCGGCTGCGAATATTGAGAACGCTCAGATAGCCTATCTCTCTGCATGCCCGACCGCCGGGAACTCTTCTCGCCTTCTTGCGGACGAGTCAATACACATTGCGAGTGCTTTTCAGCTAGCGGGCTTTAGCCATGTCTTGGCTACACAGTGGGTTTCAAACGACATTGCGTGTCGTGAAGTTGCGGAAGAGTTTTACAAACAGCTGTTCAAGGGCAGCGGCGGCGGAGCTGATCACGGACATGTCAGCCTTTCGTTTCATCTTGCAGCCAATAAGCTCCGAGTCAAATCCTGGAAAGAGCCCATCAAGTGGGCGTGTTATATTCATACAGGCGCCTGAGTGCTATTCGTCCCGAGCTTTGGTGACTCTGCGAGTTCTATCTCCCAGCCCAGCTTGTTCCTTTATGTCTTTTACAACGCCATCGCATTGCATGTTGCGCCTCTAGAGTATGCCTGTTTGCTTTTTTTTTCGTTCCGCTTTGTACTCGTATTTCTCTGACTGATATTGCATGCCATACAAAAATACGCCAAGCTCATGATTTTGGGTGTATGCAATAATGGCCCAGTTCAAAAACGTCAGAGAAATACTAGTAGGGAGCCTCCTTTGCTTTTTCCTCCTTTCGCCTTTTTTCTTTCGTATGATCCAAATCTATCAAGCTCTCAAAGAGATAACCAACGGACCCAGTAAGGTTACCTTTGGTATGAGAAACGGGGGTCTGTTTCGAACATGATCAGTCAGTTCTCAGTATCACTCCACGCCAATCATCATATTGTGACTTCCTGGAACATCTATCGCCTTACTATTGTTCAAAAAGACATTGAGACCTTAATCTTGGCCAGGTTTTTCGGTCGCGTGTGTACACATGCGCTTCTAGCCGCAGAGAAACACCAACGGAACTGGCTTTACTATGCATCATTGCAGCTAGGAGCGCACCCAGTATGACCATGGGGTGCTATGATAGGCACCAGAGCCGATTCTTAGGTAGAAAGACCAGGAAGGAATGAACTGCTGCATGCTGCGGAGATGCGTAAGGTAGGTACTGGCTCCATGAACAGGAAGCTCAAGGAAGACGTGTGTGTGGGTGATTCTTGGAAGGCCACATGCACATGGATATCTGTCTCTGCGATATCAATACGTGGAGGTGTACTAATGTCGGGGTTGGTTGACGCATGTTCTATTGAGGAGAGAGCGCTAGGGGAGGTATGTGTTCTGTCTTTGTCGACTGGAGAGGTTACATCTAAGTGGAGGCGCTGCTCGAAACGCCTGCCTCCAAAGCTTAAGCTCACATGTACACACAACACCCCTGCTAGGGATATATGCAGGGCGCGGTGATCACCGCAGGGATCCTGGGCTAGGCTCTCTAGTGAATTTCAGTGCGATGCCCTTAGACCGGTGAGCTTCTAGCTCTTCCAAGTTTCTATTTCTTCGAGTGCAGAATAAACCCATCGCAGCAAGTGGCCAGATTGGGCCACGTCCCACAGGAAACATATTCTGCGGTTGTCGGGCCGGGAAGAAGGACAGTTAGAAAACTGCGCTGCTCATAATAAATGGCCTCTATATCAACACCCACCACCCTGCCATTCGCACAGCTCGTACCAACAGGACATGTAGCTTTCCAGCCAAGCGGATTGTGGCCTGCTGGACTACATGTATCTGCATTTCAATTCCAGAGAACGTAGAGGGGTATATACATGCTATAGGAGATATAACCAATTCTCCAACACTCCATGCTTTGGCAATGTTGGGGGGTTGACTTTAAACCTTGAATACAGCCCGAACTCTCTTGCGGAGAGTTCGCAAGTTGTGGTAAGGCCAGGCAGCCATCAGTGGTATACCAGCGAGCTGCAGAAGTACTATGTATTTCTTATCATGCACGGAATCAAGTCCGATACAGCAGTCATGAGGAGCTAGAGTTCTACCATAAGAAGGAATACAATCGAGAACCAGAGTAACTTGTGGTAGATACTGAAGACGTGGCTGCTCAAATCCCATGGCCGTAGGAGGTCCTTTATGCGTCCGCCCTCTCTTGCGTTCTCTCTGCAACAAGAGCGACTGCTTAACACAGGAGTTATTTCCCACCGGTGAGGACACGGGATTGCATGCCAAGCCCATACTCGAGTTATAACCACCAGCACCGCGCCTCTCTCCTTCTCCGCAACATCAACATCAACAACTACAACTGCAACTGCAACTGCAACTACAACTAAAAACCATGATGCCTAGCACAGCCATGGGGGGAGAGCTGCAGGTTCGCCATCGACTCTCGACCACTTCAACCTCTTTCCATACTCCGGTGGTTACGAAACTAAGGCGGTGCTTCGGGTCAGTTCAAGTCACAACTGGTAACCGTGTCGTGACTAGCTGATCTTGTACTCTACAGCCTCGTCTCTTCCCAGTCATCATCATCCACCTATCATTGTAGACAACTCGAGCCCCGTTTCTGCTATCAGAACCTGAGCCTGTATTATCCGTGAATCAGGTAGGATTCAAATAAAATCCTTTGTACTCCTGTTTCTCTGCGTCCCAACCACGTCACCGTATCCTGCAACACACACCGGCAATATTATATCTTTAGGTCTTTGTAACGTACCGATCCCCTCTCCCCCTCCCCGCTCTAGTCTAAAACAAGAGCCAAGTACTGATTGTCTCTGATCACATTTAGCTCGCCTCGGCCTCCACATGTCACTATCCACATGTGATGCCCGCTGGCGAGAGTTTATGATCCATATGACCTGCCAGTCTCCTGCCATCCCGCCCGATGCTGTCGCAGCCAGGACAACTGCATTCCTTCCCGTCTGCGCTCCAAATCCAGAATGAACAGAGGGCTGCCCGCATATCCCACGCCAGGCGGATCCCTACGAGCGGGTACAAGGTGGAGCGCTGATGCTCCCGGGCAATTCTTGGTTCATCCGCCGGAGTCCGGATATTCCACTGCCATTCATCCTCGCCGGAGTCATAGCCTCCGGGTTATATGCAATGACTGAAGCATTCAATCACTCAGTCCCGCCTGGGCGCGCCGCGACCACTTGTCATTGGGGTTTCGGTGAGTCCCGGTTATCTATTGCGCGGGTCTCGATAGCCACGGCTACTGTCGATGATACATCGCTGCTGCCTGCGAAGCGTCTACGAATGGCCACTGATGCCGGCTGGCGCAGTGTTGAAGAGATTGCATGGCTGAATGGAACACAATCCGTGTTGAAAGGAAATATGTAACGGTGGAGGTGGATAGACCTCGTTATACAGAACACCAATATATGTAGGCAGGAAAATATACGGAAAGGCGGATGTGTAGGTGCAGACCCGGCACTTCCATCCCCCGGTTTCATGTTGACCCGCTCGTATCTTCTTGTTCCCTAGCATATTGTGACTGTAAACCCAACCAGACCAAGAACCGGGTATCAGAGAAGTCTTGGTAGTCTGGATAACAATCGCAAAACCCAAAGGTTAATAACTGCTACAGGTGTGTTAACGCTTTACGAGGGAATGATTATCATGTTAAGGCGCTATTTTTCATACCAATACTCGTGAGCAGAGCTCCTTTGCAAACATATATTCAACGTCTGTCAATCCACCCGCATACACCGATATCCCTCGCCATCTTAAGGGTATTCGTGTCTATCCCACGTTATGAGCCCAGATACAAACCCCTACCGATACCCATCCCCATCACGCGGCCCACACCCCACCCGTACCACGGCGCACCAGGAGCACCAAACCCAACAGAACCAAGCAATTTGATCTTTTCCATCCCACACCAGGTATACATGTAACGTCCACCACGTAGCCATGACCCCTCCACTGCAGCATACAAAAAACCCAATTCCACACCCCAAACCCAGAGTTAGTATCGGCGCGAGTGACATCCCATGAATCCGAGTGATAATGCATGATCCCACCACACGCAGTCGCAGAGGTGACGCGACGCGGGGGACTACTGCACCTAACGCACGGAGTGCATACGGCGGTGGGATACGTGGTAGAGCGATGTGCGAACGGACGTTGTAGATCAGTGGGGGTGCGGGTTGCTGTAAGCGCGGGATCATGGGGATCATGGGGATCATAGGGTATCACTCGATGGGTGGCTTGGCGGGTAAAGTGCGGGTACCGATTAGGACTGGCGGGGTGCGGAGGTGAATTGTAACGCGCCGTGCGATATTTTAACTGTGTGCTCCGGGAAGTGAGCTAGGGGTTCCGAGTAGTAAAGCGGAGGGACTTTAGAACAGGCGTACGGGCTGGTCGGTCCTGGGTTGGGGTGGGGGATGTTGTTTTGAGTTGATGACCGGGTGCGGCGGTAGAGGTTGGGGAGGGGGGATTTGGGGTCTCGTTGATGGGGTAGGGGAGGCGTGGACTGTAAGGGGATTAGTAGAGGATGGCAGAGGTTATGTAGCTGGTGGTGTGTTTTTCTGCAAAGAGTGTCGGTGGGCAGTACCTTTAGCATTGATATTAACACTCGTAGGTTCTAGAAAGTAGTAGCGTGGGTTGGTATGCGTAGCGGATGGGTAAGATAGAGGGGACGTTAATGGACGATAGCAGAGGTTATCCCCTAAGCTGTCGGCGACCCTCGGCGGGGTCACTATTTCACCAAGCTTCCAGTTTCCGGGTATTACACTTTGCCACCTGATTAATGCACCTCGAGAAAAAATGATTTGAAGTTTTTCTTCTCTCCCTTTCAGAAAAGGAGAAAACTTTTAATGGTGGATAGAAAAGTATTTATGGGCCACTGTTGCCTTGATTTGACATGATCATGATACCCAAACGCACCGTGTCAAAATCTTGATATTTCAACAACCATGAATGATGGAGGTTTGAGGCTACGTAGCCAGGCAGTCAACTATCAGATCCAACTTTCATCATCACCCCCACCCACAGAGGCTGTTGGTTCAAAAGAAAACCTTCCATCACGAAATATCACACGCCCGCAAAACCTGCCACCTTCATAGAGGTCTACAACTACCAAGAAGCAACGCATCGAAGATGCAAGACTGGCAATCAATAGCTTGAATACAGATGTATCCGCTGCCTGTTCCCCGTTAAGAGGGAAGAAAAAGCAGCGGAGTAGTGGCAGAAAACCTCCCTCAATAGCATCGACGCCACACAAAGCTGACTTGGGATCCTTGCCACCACCCCCACTCTTTCATCCATTAGAGCTTCCGGTACTACTGCATAATGTATACAATATGCTTCCTAAAGAGCTACAGAACATCAAGCTTCAGTCTCGTGACATTTTTGACCTATTTTTTCCCCCAAGTACGATAGAAGTACTAGTAAAAGATACCAATCTGTGTGCAACAAAAACGAAGGAGGACCCAGGGGATGTAACAGGGGATAAAAATTCCAGATGGAAACCAGTAATTAGTGCAGATATATACAAGTTGTTGCCGGCCTTCGGCCAGTTAGAAAATGTGATATATTGACAGAAATGTGATACGTTAACAAAATTACATATGTGTTAGATTCATTCAGGACTAGTACGTAATACGTCACCATATGAGGATCGGCCTCGACCTCCTACCTACCACTATATTCTGACACCTGTGCAGACGTCTATATAGACTCCTAATTCGACCCCGAATTCACGCCCAATTCATGCCAAAATCGACTGCTAGAAGTAAAACGACTGCTGTATAACAGCAAATCATGCTTCTGAGACATCAAATTGACAGGTAGCAGCAGATTGATGCATAGAAACACCTCCACAAGCACCTCCTCGAGCACCTTTTCGAGCACTGTTTCAAGCGCCTGTCACACACCGTTTTGAGCACCGATTCGACCACCACTGCAGGTGTTACTAGGGGTACAGATGCTGGTCCAGGTGCGGGTTCTGACATATGTACATAGCATTATATTACTATTATTACTCCGCATGGTTTTTATTTCGTGCTGTGATTGGTGATATCGAGCTCAATTGAACTTGTACACAGGGGGACGAGGGCACTGGCAGAATCCTACGAGGGTAGCGATAGACATTGGAATATTCTTGGTAGGGCAACGATGGATATTGGGAGGCCTTTAAGAGGGCAAAGAGGGTGCTGAAAGGGTAACGAGAGGTACTGTGAACGCTCTGATAGGCAATAAGAGAATTCTATAAGGGTAGCGATGGATATTGAGAGATTCATTGGAGGGTAGCGATGGACATTGAGAGATTCATTGGAGGGTAGCGATGGACATTGAGTGTAACGGATCCATTTCAACTGTCTGGTGTATGAGTACACACAGGGCCCAGTTACATGCTGAGAGTTATTGTTAGAAGTCAGTTGCACAGTGACATGCAAGTACCACCAGGGTGGTTAGTTACCAGCTGTCAGATTAACTAAATTTTGAGCGCTAGGAAGAGGGTCTATTCATGGGAATAAAGCTTGATGAGTTTAGGTCTCGCTGGTAAGTAGAAGACTGATCAGAGTGAAGCTCTTAGTGCCTGGTAATATAACAGGGCAACTCTAAGGCTGTTACAAGAGTACCTGTTCTATCAGTCAAGCCGATGACAGTAGGGTAACCGCAGCTTGTTCTTCATTGATGGGTGAAGACGAGGGCAGGTGAGCCTCTACCTCTATTGGTATTGAGGGTAGGAATTTTAGCAAGTAAAGAGTTTTACAAGTCAACTTGAAGCTAGTCTACTGGACAAAACTAGAGCAGAAGGACAAGCATGCCAGAGAGGAAGGGCAACCTGAAACATAAGTTACCCCATCTTAGCACTCAACCTTGGAGGTGCAATAGCTTCGCAACCGATAGCTCCACAACCGATGCATGGAAAATATACTTTAGCAACATCAGTAAGCTTAACAATTTCTGTAAAGTATTTCCTGTATCTCCAGAGAATCAAAATCCATTTTGATGTCTCAGGAGAAGCTCAGGAGACCCGGGAGACTGTTGGGAGACTCATGAATATTTACAATTTTGCTGATGAAGACAGAAATGATCCTGGCTATTCACAGGACTGGATTGGAGTTCGAATTACAAAAACATGCTTTGGTGCCCAAAAATAACCTGCGGAGCATCAAACCGCCGGAATCCTCCTGCTTCAGCCCTGTGAATTCTTAGGAAATAAGAGTGTGACTCAAGCTATTAAAGCAAAACTTCATTTTATAAGTACCAAGATCAATTCTAAATAATTTGAATAAGCAATTGCTGTTTGGTTAGTTGTTTCCACTCGTTTTTAGGATCTCAACCAGCTTTTGTCAGAGATTGCATGATTTGAATTGTATAGAAGTTCGGCCGAAGTGTGGTAGCAACTTCTCTCTCCCCTCATAGAAAAAAGTCACTGCGCCCCCGACTATTGATAGGCAAACTACCCGTCAGAATAAAAAACCTGAAGAAGGATGCCGGAGTTCTATAAAGGACTCGGTGTTGCCCCAGGTTGGCTTCTCATCATCAGCGGATCTTTACTAGCGAGAAAACCTCTTAAAGTTATTAAGTTCCTAGACTTGAAAACAATCAAACAAACAAACCACTATCTTTCTTATCGATAGAGTCCCCTCATAATTGGTTCGTTTCTTCTATCTATCTATATTATCGAAGTCACAGTCGTGCCCCATCATAGCACTCCAATTACAAGTAATTCTCTGGATCTTTTGGGCATGAAAAATCAGCGGTATTGGGAGAAACTATGTTTGGGAAGTCTACAATAAGCAAGGACTCTACACTAGTGCTTCATTAGCAAAAAACGAGATTCGTCAAGACAAATTCGGGTGCCCAGAGGTCCAAATTCATCTTTTGCCTGCAGAATCTCATCTTTTGGTGAAACCGTGATGACCACGTCTTATGCCCCAACTGTTTTCGCCCCTTTTTTTGGCCTACAAAACATGGTTATTTGACAGCTACAATTAAGAAATGGGTCGATCGATGCAGACAGATCATCTTTTAACTACACCATTTTACGCTCATCTTATTGCCAAATATCCTCATCTTAATGACCTTGCAAAATTGAATCTTTTGTCAGAAATCTAAGTCCATTCTGTCTAAATATACACCGCCACTAACAAGTCCGTCTGAAATCTTAGTCTAACAATCATTCACTCTACATACAGACACTAATAACAACCCCAATCAGAAATCTAAGTCCGAATCTAAGTACGTATTGCTAAATACACACTACTACTAACAACCCTCGTCAGAGATCTAAGTCTAATAATGAATTTGTCTAAATATACACTGCTAACAACCCCCTTCAGAAATATCGACTGCTTGCCACGGCTAAAAACCCGAGTCCCTCGCAG